GTGAGTGAGTGAGTGAGTGAGTGAGAGAGGTCCCACAAACCCATCACCCAACAACACATCTATAACTTCTTCTTCTTCTCTCCCTCAGATGGGTAAGGGCTCCTTTAAGTACGCCTGGGTTCTGGACAAGCTGAAGGCAGAGAGGGAGCGCGGCATCACCATCGACATCTCTCTGTGGAAGTTTGAGACCAGCAGGTACTACGTGACCATCATCGACGCCCCGGGTCACCGGGACTTCATCAAGAACATGATCACCGGGACGTCCCAGGTCGGTCACGTCATCATTTAAATGCTTTGTTTGTGTTTAATATTGTTTTTAGTTGTATGACTTTGTTTTGTTTCATTTGTTTTCAGTGGTTTAAATTTGGGAGCAATTAGTTTGAGTGTATCTCAAACCAATCAGCTTCATTGGCCATGACATGCTGCGTAGCAAAGATTAACGTCTGTAAGTCAGCAGAAGGCTCGTTCACCATCGCAAAGTCCAAAAAACACTTGTTGTTTTTCATCTTCAGGCAGACTGCGCCGTGCTGATCGTGGCGGCCGGCGTCGGAGAGTTCGAGGCCGGCATCTCCAAGAACGGGCAGACCCGCGAGCACGCCCTGCTGGCCTACACCCTCGGGGTGAAGCAGCTCATCGTGGGCGTCAACAAGATGGACTCCACGGAGCCCAACTACAGCCACAAGCGCTACGAGGAGATCGTGAAGGAAGTGAGCACCTACATCAAGAAGATCGGCTACAACCCCGACACCGTCGCCTTCGTGCCCATTTCAGGCTGGAACGGAGACAACATGCTGGAGCCCAGCCCCAATGTGAGTAGAGCTCCTGGGGAACATTAATGCAAATGATGTAAAGAATTAGAATTAAACATTTGAATAGTAATTTGCATGGCCAGGAGGGATGAGAAGCTGCAGCTCAGAGCTCATGTTGAGCCTTTTATGAACACTTTACGTGAGTCAGCATTTCTGCAGACTTTGCCCCAAAGGAATTACCCACAATTCAAAGCAATGTGACACTAAACACGGGGTTACTAGTGGAAGTCAGAGACGTAAGGAAAAAGGTCAACAAAGAGGACGACACATGTGTCGTAATGGATTCACTCAGAACCATAAAGGATTAAAGATGGAACATAACAACAAATGAAATGTCAAGCACTTCATATTGTTATTGAAGCTGTTTGAAGTCAGATAAATCTCTGATGGTTCAGGGTTTGAGGCCTTTGTGTCCCGCAGCATGTTGAGAAATTGTTGCTTCCGGCCACAGACGCCGAGGTAGCAGACTGTGCACAAGAAGTCACGACCTTTCAGTTTGTTTAAGTTTAATAAATCACCTCCCTGTTCTATGTTCATTCTACGTCGATCTTCCTTCATCGTGAAGCAATTTGTGCTGCTGTTCTTGTGTTAAAGGTGCTATACAAATAAAGTTTATTGTAATATCAGAAAACTACAATATCTAGCTAACATTAGCCAACCATAAGCGACGGCTGTAGCAGCAAATATTAGTATTTTTATTGCTTATGAATTTCACATTTCTTTTCAAATTCTTCAATCAAAAGATTCTCAATTTTATTACAAATTATGATTTACCTTAATAATCTAATGTTTTCTATGTTCTCGTCGCTAGATGACGTGGTTTAAAGGGTGGAAGATCAACAGGAAAGAAGGCAACGCCTCAGGGACCACACTGCTGGAGGCTCTGGACGCCATCCAGCCGCCCACCCGCCCGACCGACAAAGCTCTACGTCTGCCTCTGCAGGACGTCTACAAGATAGGAGGCACGTAGGGAGACATGAACCATAACAGGAGGGGGGGTTGTTGAAGCGCCCTTTAACGTCTGAACCCTCTCCGTGCTCTCAGGTATCGGCACGGTGCCGGTGGGCCGTGTGGAGACGGGCGTGCTGAAGCCCGGCATGGTGGTGACCTTCGCGCCCGTCAACGTGACCACGGAGGTGAAGTCGGTGGAGATGCACCACGAGGCGCTGACGGAGGCGCTGCCCGGCGACAACGTGGGCTTCAACGTCAAGAACGTGTCGGTCAAGGACATCCGCCGCGGCAACGTGGCCGGAGACAGCAAGAACGACCCGCCGCAGGAAGCCGCCAACTTCACCGCTCAGGTAGCAAAAAAGATCTTTTTACAGAAATGAAACATGAGCGTGATTAAACCAGCTGATTCTCTCAGAACTATTTATAGTCTTGAGGAACATTTGTTCACGCTGCAATTCAGTAAAAGTAATCAATGGAAGACAATCACTGAGATCATTGTTTAGCTGAGAATGTGTTCTAAAGATTTAGGAACTTCTTGTGTTGCTGCTCAAGAAACATTTGTTTACATACAAGAATAATGAAGAAATGTCGATTATTTTCTTAATTAATTGTCTTTTTTTTCTCACAAAATAATCAAAAAGAACCAATTGGAGCATCGATAAGAGTTACCCGTCCTAACCTCTAACGGGCCGCTCACTTCGTCTCTCTGCCTCTTCGTAGGTGATCATCCTCAACCACCCGGGTCAGATCAGTGCCGGCTACGCTCCCGTGCTCGACTGTCACACCGCTCACATCGCCTGCAAGTTTGCGGAGCTCAAGGAAAAGATCGACCGGCGCTCCGGCAAGAAGCTGGAGGACAATCCCAAATCCCTCAAGTCCGGAGACGCCGCCATCGTGGACATGGTTCCAGGCAAGCCGATGTGCGTTGAGAGCTTCTCCGAGTACCCTCCACTTGGTGAGTTCCAGTGTAGAGCATGCCTTCTTCCAAGTGTAGAGCATGCCTTCTTCCGAGTGTAGAGCACGCCTTCTTCCGAGTGTAGAGCACGCCTTCTTCCGAGTGTAGAGCACGCCTTCTTCCGAGTGTAGAGCACGCCTTCTTCCATCAAAGGCGTTGTGACTCCAGATATAACTTCTTTACTCCACCTTGCAGGTCGCTTCGCGGTGCGCGACATGCGTCAGACGGTGGCCGTCGGCGTGATCAAAGGCGTGGAGAAGAAGGTCTCCACCACCGGTAAAGTCACCAAGTCCGCCCAGAAGGCCCAGAGGACCAAATGAATGTTGTGCTCCTCTGCCGACCCCAAGGTCTCCCAGGGCAGGACATCGGCCGTCCGACTCCATCCAACGATCGGCTGCTTCACCTCGATAATCAAAGACTGGTTAATCATCACAATGCACCGCAAAAGCATTCGAAGGAAAGAACGACATTTAGATCTCAAAGTCCTTTGAGGCAACATCCCCCAACTCCCATTCTCAGTGGTTAGATTACCATTAACGTCACGATGTAATATCAAACCGATAGTTTTAAATGTGCACTGTTGATTTAGTTCGTGTAGATACCTTTTCAGTGGTTATGGATATTGAGACGTTGAACATTTAGAGGTACTGAGACGTATCGCCGCTCTAGCTCCTCTGGAGTCACTGGTGTCTTTTTACGTGGTTCATGTTGTCCTGCTTTTAGTGTTTGTTTGCAACTCCACGGTGCTCTGTAGGAGCAAGATGTTAAAAACCATGTTCTTCCAAGTAGTAGATCAGTAGTGATTCATGTGTCTAAGCTACAAAAAGCACTTAAAACAGACGGTCCACATCTGTCCCCCTCCTGAGGGACTCTGAGAAGACCGCCTGTTGATCCTTAAAGCACTTTGATTGGCGTTTTGCTGACTTTGCACTTGCACTGGAAAGCTTAAATTGGCAAAAGCTGCTGCACCTTACTGTAAGATGGCATGAGCCTCTTTGCAACATTAAACATGTTTCAACCAAAATGGTCTTTAGTCTTTTTTTTTTTTTTTTCTTAGTGTGCGGCAGAGAAAGAGTTAGACTAAATACACACTTGTGTCCACAAGATGGAGCCATTGGCAAAGGAGTTAGATCTTTAAACAGATTCTCACATGATCCTACAAACCAGATGTTCAAAAGGGTGGAGTGTTTCGGGGGGGCGTGTCAGAAACTCTTTCAGTTTACCTCTTGAAGGATCAGTTTCGTTCCTCTCACTGCACCATCATGACTGGCAGAGGGAGAACACGCAGGGCAAAGAGTCCAGACACCAAGTCTGCCAACAGCAAAACTAGTCCTGAGGAAGTGTCTCGGCAGAACGACACCACAAAGGAAAGGAAACCAAAAGCGCAGAAAAAGGCAAGAGACGCTGAGGAGAGCCCACTTCAAGACAGGACCACAAAGCATGTCATAGAGGAGATCAGCAAGCAGCAAAGTGCAACTACTGACAACACGAAGGCTCCTGTACGCTGCACAAAAGCCAAAAAAACGACAGAACAAGCTGCAGAGGATATAAGGAAGACGCAGCCAGAGACACCAAAGGATCCTCTAAAGGCCACAAAGGTAAAAAGATGTGTTGTGAAGAAGGACAAATCCCCAGAAGAAGCTGCAGAGGAGATGACAGAGACGCAGCCGGAGACACCAAAGGATCCTCTAAAGATCATCAAAGTAAAAGGATGTGTTGGCAAAGCCAGATCACCAGGACACATCACAGAGACGCCAAAGGAAACCCCGAAGGCTTGTGTACCACCCGTCAGGTGTGGAGAGGGAGAGCTCTCCATCCTCCACAGGACTCTGGAGAACCTGAAGATCAAAAGGAACGAAAGATCGGACGCGGCGGAGGTCGTCAATAGGATAGTAAAAACTATAGTTGCTCATTTGAAAGAGAAAAGCCAGAGCTTCAAAGAAATAGTGCCACTACGTACTGGAAGCTACTATGAAAATCTAAAGGTGAGTCTTCTTCAGACGCTGTATTTGGTGCATGTGAGCACTTTGAACTACGATGTCATTTGTATCATTTGTTTGCATGCAGATTTCTAATCCCGATGAGTTCGACGTCATGCTGCCGGTTCCTGTCGACCGAGTGAACGTTACTCCGTTCGGAGACGATGGAGCTTTTTACAGCGTGGAGTTAAAACGAGGCAAGAGTCCTCTGCAGAGATTCCAAAAAACCGGCGGCACTTTATCCGCCAGTGAGATGCTCAAAGAGTTCAGGGACGAGGTGAAGAAATCCGTCAAGCAATTTACAGGCGAGTAGAGCAACTTCTTCACAGTGTTGGGTTGGTCCAATGCGGTTTATATTTACTACTACCCTAATATTACACCAATATGTCACAAGATCTAAAGAAAGATGTATGTATGTATGTATGTATGTATGTATGTGTGTATATATATATATATATATATATATATATATAATGTATATATGATCATGTTTTTTTGCCGCCAATCAGTTATGATCGATATTAACAGATACAGATCCCTTTAATGTTTGGTTGTAGCAGCTGGTCTACAAGGATCCAGTACAACTTTAGTTCACACTGTGATGGTTAATGGTAAACTGTCATTAATCCGCGGTTCTCACACTAGTCTATAAAAATAAATTCATGCAACATTTCAATTGTTTCTTTCTTTGTTCTTTCAGAATGGGAGGTGACAAAAAAGAAAACAGGATGCCCCGCCGTGACCCTGATGACAAAATATCAACCAATCCCCATTTCACTGGATATCGTTCTCAGCATCGTGGTTCAATCCAGCTGGCCAGCTTTTACCAAAGAAGGCATTAAAATAGACGGCTGGCTGGGAACCAAAGTAAAGCAGCAATACAAGCGACTGCCGTATTATCTCGTCCCAAAATACGAAGGCGTGGGTACGGTGGAGTGTGACGGGGTCCTGGCCAAAGGTGAGTTAGTTACACACTGTTTGGGGCCTTTTTATGAATGAAATCTAGGAAAAAGAAAGCGAAGCTTCAAGTTCCCCTCTGGGTGTTTTTGGCAGATGTTTGGCGGGTTTCGTTCTCACACGTTGAGAAGGCCATGCTGATGAATCACGGGTCGGAGAAGACGTGCTGCGAGAGAGAAGGAGAACGCTGCTGCAGGTTACAGATGTTTTAACAAACTCAACTCCTCAAGCCATCTTGAAATAAAGTTACCTCAAAGTTTCTTTTGTCTTTACAAACAGGAAGGACTGTCTGAAGCTCCTGAAGCATCTTCTCAGTCTCTTGAAGGAGAAGGACTCTTCTTTGACTAAGTTCTGCTCGTACCACGTTAAGACCACGCTGTTACACGCTTGCTGCTCCAGAACCAAGGACGCCGACTGGAGGGCCTCGAGTCTGAGCCGCTGTTTCCTGCTTCTCCTGGAGGACTTCGTGGAACATCTGGAAAGAGGTGTTCTCCACAACTTCTTCATCCCGACTCAGAACCTGCTCTCTGGTCCCGGTCTGAAGAAGTGCAAAAGTCTGGCTCAACGTATCAGGGAGGAACGTGAAAACGGATTTCCCATTTTCAAGTGATAACTAAACTCAGGGTAATCGTTCAATAAGAGAGCATAATCAAAATATCATTTATACATAATTTATATGTCAAAACATTGATTCAAAGAGTCATAGTATAGCATGTCAAAAAAGGCATATTTAAGTTTGTTGATACAAGTCATCTTATGTGATGACTTATTCAACATGCTATGACTTTATTACTTTTGATACGCGACATATGATTCTTTTAATAACATTTCCAAAATAATATATGATGGTAACATGTTTTTATTGGCTAGATCAACTTTTTTCATACAATCACATGTCAACAGAACAAACTCCTTTAATGTCATATTATACTGTGACAAATAACACAATGGCAGTTTTACATAACATTTGTGTTGCAGGATCCAGAGCTCCATCTGGTTACTCAGCCACTCCTGTGCAGTCCGGTTTTTACCACCTACCCATGAAGTGTCCCTCTCTTCCAACGTGGTCACAACTGTCTTTTACATTTTTTGCACGACACATCCAATACATGCATGCCCACATGACGGATTACAAGCTTTCACAATTGTTCTACTTTTTAAATAAATAAATTTGTTACTTTATGAACTTGTCAGGTCCATTTCTGTCTGTCTAGGGGTGTGATAAGTTTTAATGTATACAATACTACTATACATAGTTTTTTCTACCTCTAGCATGTGGAAACAGTGATATGTCATAGTATGTCCACATTTGTTGTTCTCGACTACCCGGCTTCGTCGTCAGAAGTGCTGACAGATTGTTTCATCATCACAGTGATGAATCACTGTTCAACACTTCTGCATTCATCACAAAGGATTGTGAAATAGTTTATGGTTTACCAGAAACTGCAGCGGTGCTCCTTTGATTTCCTGCTCACTGTAGACGACTTGGACTTAATCTGGGGAATCACTTCCTGTCCAATAATTCCCGTTCAAATAATTGACTGTTTGCCTTTTAGTGAATGATAATTATAAAACATTTACCTTTGGCGTCTTCTAGGTAAACGTTTCCCATTATTGTGACGGTGCAGATTTAATGATTAACGTATCATAAGTTTCAATAAAATACACCGCGTCACGTCTCTTTAAAAAAAAAAAAAAAGAATTTATTATACAGGTTTTACGTCTGCATTAAATAAACAAAATGTGGTCGGTGAGTTTACAGACAGAAGAAAGTGTCAAATTTGTGCATTTTAAACATTTTTTAAAACAGGAGCGCAACATAATGAGGAGTAACGGCCTCATTGATAATCCAGCAAAAACACAAACGAACCACGGTTTCAAATCAAAGAAAATACATAATGTACATTCAAAACAAATCACAACACAGGCATCAGATTCTGCTTCAGCCTGTTGAGAGAAATAACATAAAATCAAGATTAGTCCTCAATTATTAAATTCATTACTCGGGCATTCTATCAAAAATCAATCAATTTCTGACTGAATGTTTGATGTCTAGCGTTCGTGTTCATGTGTGGACTTACATGGACAATCATGCATTAGAAGGCCCAGTTATCACTTTGATCTCTGCCTCCACCATCTCGCCTCCCCCATCCTCCTCCATCTCTCCTCCCCCATCCTCCATCTCTCCTCCCATATCCTCCCCCTGGTCCTCTTGGAGCACCCAAGTCCTTCTCCCTCTTGTGCTTCTCGTATCTCTCTGCCATGAGCACCAGCTCCTCTGGGACCTCCTGCAACAGGATTCACAAAGATTTCATGCAGGTTACGACGGTTCACTGGATATTTTATTAAAATACACTTTAAAAACTTGATAAATGTAAATACCATGCTGTCACACATGCTTTCAGGCTGCAAATACAACATTTCACATATTTTTAACAAACTTTCTGTCACACACATTGTATGTGTGGTGAAAATAATAACTAACACTGACCTGTCCTGCTCGCTCCAGGATGTGAATAAGCTCCGGGGCCATTCTCCAGTTCTCTCTTGTTATCAGGGTAATAGAAGCACCTGAGCGTCTGGCACATAAATGCATCGACATTAACTACTAAATACTCAGGAGCAGCCAGAGACCGGCAGTGAGTTACAATCATGTGACTGCACAATAAAGTGTAAACACTCTTACCCTGCTCGGCCAGTGCGGCCCACGCGGTGGACGTACTCCTCTATGTTTCGCGGGAAGTCGTAGTTAAAGACGTGAGTTATGTCGATGACGTCCAACCCTCGAGACGCCAAGTCTGTGGCAACCAGGATACGAACTCGGCCTGGAAAAAGATTAAACGGTTATTCTCCGTTCAAATTAAGCCTCATCGACTTCAAGATCACCAGCTAAATACCAACATATTTAAGTTTCAGTCCGAGTCTATTTTCAACACTTCTCCCTCTGTAACGTACTGTCTTTAAAGTCCTTGAGGGCCTCCTCACGGTCACACTGCTCACGGTCACCATGAAGACTCTGCACAGCCAGACCCTGCAGACACATGTCGCTGGACAGGTCGTCGGCCCTGAGAGAGCACAGACATGCACACAGGAAGTAGATAGTGTGTGTGGTTAATGCCAGTATTTACCAGGAACTGTGGGCAGCAGCTAGAAGCAACAATTTACTCCCTCGTTCACGAGGCAGACGTTAGCGACTGATTCCTACTCACACAAGCTTCTTGCCCACAAAGACGAGGACTTTATCCAGAGGCTGCATGTTTCTGATGAAGTCAAACACGTAGGACTTCTTCTCGTCTTCGTGGACGAGCAGCACGGTCTGCTGCACCGTGTTAACGGCCTGAGAAACACAGGAACATCAAAAGATTAAAGTACACAGTCGACACAACAGATAAATGGTTTGACTGCGTTCGTCTCCACTTACCGCCAAGTCCAGAGTGCCCACATACACCATCATGGGATTCTTCAGATAGGATTTGGCTAATCGTCTCACACCGGTGGGCCACGTGGCACTGAATCATGGGAGTTTAAGAAGGAAGAGAAAGCTCAATCTCAACAACATGTCAAAGTAAATCTCCATAATACTTCTGTAAGACATGATGAGATTCATAGAGTTTATTAAGGTTTTCATGCTTTGCAGAGGGAGCTGCATCAGTACTCGTGTCCTGCCGTCCTGTTCATTACATTTGTTTAAGGTGCTCCGTGTGTTTGTACCTGGTCATAACGGTCTGTCGGTCCGGCCGGATGTCCAGGAGAATCTTCATAATCTGGGGTTCAAAGCCCATGTCTAGCATCCGGTCCGCCTCGTCCAACACCTTTTCACAACGATCAGAGTTATTGGATGCAACCTATCGGTACCGGTCTGTTTGTGCTCACGCCTAAAGGCCCAAATCCATTCGTGTCAAAGACACTTTACACCTGAAGAATTTCACTGAGATGCACGGACACAAGCGGCTCACCAAGTAGGTGATGGACTGCAGATTGATGAGCTCGTTCATCTGCAGATCGTTCAGCCGGCCCGGTGTGGCGATCACGATGTCCACGCCGCTCTTCACCAGAGCGATCTGAGCTCTCCTGTCTCCTCCGCCGTAGATACAGACACTGAGATAAAAAGACAGAGAGGAGGGAACCGCCACGGTCATGTCAAAGAAATATGAATTATATTAATATGCTAAGCTCATCCTTTGTGACTTGTGATGATATATAAGACTGCTGGACCTTTTGTAGCCCTTATAGCGATACTTGCTGCACTCGGTTTCGATCTGCAGGGCGAGCTCTCTGGTGGGCGTCAGCACCAACATGCCTGGACCACCGCGCTTGGCTTTAGGCCTAAAAAGGAGAAAAGAGTAGTTTCAATGTCAACATTGCTGCTTAAAGAAAAGATCAAGAGGCTAAGCTGAGGAGAAAGAAAGGTGCTGTGCTCACACAGGCTGTCCGTCCATGTGGATGAACCCGGGCAGCAGGTAAGCCAGAGTCTTCCCTGTTCCAGTCTGAGCGATGGCGATCACGTCCTCTCCACTCAGAGACACCGGCCACGCCTGAGACTGGTGAGGAACCAACAAAAAGCACCATTGTACATTTAGAACCAAATACACACACACACACACACCTTTAAATTTTTCACTCTTTGTTTCATTGCAGCCATTTGCTAAAATCAAAAAAGTTCATTTTATTTCTCATTAATGTACACTCAGCACCCCATCTTGACAGAAAAAAACAAATGTAGAGATTTTTGCAAATTTATTAAAAAAGAAAAACTGAAATATCACATGGTCATAAGTATTCAGACCCTTTGCTCAGTATTGAGTAGAAGCACCCTTTTGAGCTAGTACAGCCATGAGTCTTCTTGGGAGTGATGCAACAACGTATATGTATATGTATGTACATATATATATATACACATACACACACACATACACACACACATATATACATACACACACATATACACATACATATACACACATACACACACATACACATACACACACATATACACACACACACACATATACACACACACACACATATACACACACACATATACACACATACATATACACACATACATATACACACATACACACACATATACACACATACATATACACACATACATATACACACATACACACACACACACACACATACACACACACACACACACATACACACATACACACACACACACAGTTGTGTGAAAAAGTGTTTGCCCCCTTCCTGATTTTTTTGCATGTTTGTCACACTTAAATGTTTCAGATCATCAAACAAATTTAAATATAAGACAAAGATAACACAAGTAAACACAAAATGCAGTTTTTAAATGAAGGTTTTTATTATTAAGGGAAAAAAAATCCAAACCTACATGGCCCTGTGTGAAAAAGTGATTTGCCCCCCCCCCCGTTAAAACATAAATTAACTGTGGTTTATCACATCTTTGGAAAGCTGAGTTCAATTTCTCTAGCCACACCCAGGCCTGATTACTGCCACACCTGTTCTCAATCAAGAAATCACTTAAATAGGACCTGCCTGACAAAGTGAGGTAGACCAAAAGATCCTCAAAAGCTAGACATCATGCTGCGATCCAAAGAAATTCAGGAACAAATGACAAACAAAGTAATTGAGATCTATCAGTCTGGAAAAGGTTACAAAGCCATTTCTAAAGCTTTGGGACTCCAGCGAACCACAGTGAGAGCCATGATCCACAAATGGCGAAAACATGGAACAGTGGTGAACCTTCCCAGGAGTGGCCGGCCGACCAAAATTACCCCAAGAGCGCAGCGACGACTCATCCAAGAGGTCACAAAAGACCCCAGAACAACATCCAAAGAACTGCAGGCCTCACTTGCCTCAATTAAGGTCAGTGTTCATGACTCCACCATAAGAAAGAGACCGGGCAAAAATGGCCTGCATGGCAGAGTTCCAAGACGAAAACCACTGCTGAGCAAAAAGAACATAAAGGCTCGTCTCAGTTTTGCCAGAAAACATCTTGATGATCCCCAAGACTTTTGGGAAAATACTCTGTGGACTGACGAGACAAAAGTTGAACTTTTTGGAAGGTGTATGTCCCATTACATCTGGCGTAAAAGTAACACGGCATTTCAGAAAAGGAACATCATACCAACAGTAAAATATGGTGGTGGTAGTGTGATGGTCTGGGGCTGTTTTGCTGCTTCAGGACCTGGAAGACTTGCTGTGGTAAATGGAACCATGAATTCTGCTGTCTACCAAAAAATCCTGAAGGAGAATGTCCGGCCATCTGTTCGTGACCTCAAGCTGAAGCTCACTTGGGTTCTGCAGCAGGACAATGATCCAAAACACACCAGCAAGTCCACCTCTGAATGGCTTAAGAAAAACAAAATGAAGACTTTGGAGTGGCCTAGTCAAAGTCCCGACCTGAATCCGATTGAGATGCTGTGGCATGACCTTGAAAAGGCGGTTCATGCTCGAAAACCCTCCAATGTGGCTGAATTACAACAATTCTGCAAAGATGAGTGGGCCAAAATTCCTCTACAGCGCTGTAAAAGACTCATTGCCAGTTATTGCAAACGCTTGATTGCAGTTGTTGCTGCTAAGGGTGGCCCAACCAGTTATTAGGTTTAGGGGGCAATCACTTTTTCACACAGGGCCATGTAGGTTTGGATTTTTTTCCCCCCTTAATAATAAAAACCATTCAAAAACTGCATTTTGTGTTTACTTGTGTTATCTTTGTCTAATATTTAAATTTGTTTGATCTGAAACATTTAAGTGTGACAAACATGCAAAAAAATAAGAAATCAGGAAGGGGGCAAACACTTTTTCACACAACTGTATATACACACATACATACACACACACACAAATACATATATATATATATATAAATACACTACTGGTGTAAGACTAAGAGTCCACAGATATAATAACATTCAACTTAATGGTTAAAGGTGATATTATCATTAATAGCTTTAATTTTCAGAAGGGCATCAGAGACAGATGGGGGCTGAAATGACTGCCCTGAGACACCACAACAGTTTCTATTGAGACTCAAGCAAATGGCACACATACCAGTATTATTATAAAACGCAGGGCGGACCAAAGAAGAGGGTGCGGCAGTACATCCGATTAACATCTACCACAGGATAACAGCAGGTTTGGCAATCATCTGCATTATACAGAGCGGGTTGTGCAACAAGCTTATTCAAAACCACAAGCCAGCGATGATGGATCCCATTTGACTGAGCCTCTTACTGCGAAACGAAAGTGAAATCAGAGAGCGAGAGATGATGCCGTTTCATTTCCTCTTGCAGCTCACGCACACAGCGAGCATCTGCAGCCTAAGAGCCTCTGGAAAACCACGGAAACACCAGCCCAGAACACACCTGTACATGTACACTGATCTACTGGGACTCCTGTGTTTGGTTCTAAGATATAAAAACATGTCTGAATGTTTTAAAGATATCTGGCTTCTGTAGCAGCAACCCATTGGATTCTATGGTACAGGATGGATTCAATTCTAATCTCTGACCATGTCTTTATGTTTCATAGAAAAACAAATGTACTAAATGGAAGAGAGAGGTGTAAAGAAAGAGAACAGTCTGTACTACACTTATTGGAAAACAACAGTCTTTGGCAAGTACATACGTTAGGGCGATACTGACAAAGTCAAATATCACAATATTTTAAATCATCAGTAATGTGGATATATGACTAATTAGGTAAAGGCAACTAAGAGAAGAGCATATTACGATATCTAGTCTCATATCAGGACGGATAGTAGACCTTCTATGGTGGCGTCTCATTACTCTGTTTAGTTGAATTATTCAGTGTTTCCCGCTGTAGTCAAAGAGTTCAACAGCATCTCATTTATGTGCAAAAAGTATGAATGAAATAAACATGTTTGCTCAGCTCTCCACATATTGTGTCAAAGATTTCCTTTCATTTCTGCTTTTTTCGGGGAGACTATAACCATGGAATAATCATTTTAAAAAGGTTCAGTATTTCCTGTTACAGCTGCTGATAATACGGGTATTTCCAAATATGGGTCTTTGTAAATCCCGGGGATAACCAGCTACGAGTACTGAGGCAGGTCACTACAGCGGTAGTATTCTAAAATACTGTGCTGATACTTCAGAAGCTTGACCAGTGACAGACTAAACTACAGGCCCATACCTGGACGGGGGTTGGTTTGACAAAACCAACGCATTCTATATTCTCCATGATCTCTGGATAAAGCTCGAAGGCCTCCAGGAAGGTACGGCATGGATTTGGAACGGGCCGCTTCTCCCCCTCCTCCTTCAGGTCGTCCACAAAGATATCGTTGTTCTCCTTCCTGTGGAAAAATACAATGCAAACAAGAACGTTGTGGAAGCAGTTGAACAGGTCGAGGGTGGTTTGATACCAAACCACACCGCAGTTGTAGACAAAGAGGAATACGCAGTGCGTTTAGTGCGGCTTGTTTAACAAAACCACATCTGGTCCAAACGCCACATGAAAATGAATTATGTGTTATTGGTTGTTTCTATTCTTGCACAAGTTTGACAAATAATATTCTTTCAATTTCAAAAGCTTAACTTTTTTCAATGGGAAATAAATGTAATGAACAATAATTTGTAAAAGATATTGACCCAGAGACAGAGTGCTAGTTTTAAAAATGTTATCTGTGCTGCCCGCACAACCTGATTTTTCCCACTAAATCTATGTCGTCAAATACTTTTCCAGTATTCACCAGCAACGCTCAATCACCCCGATTATGAGGCCCTGAAGATTGAGACTAATTTAGGCTTGCAAGCATCTACATGACCGATGTGTAAACAGTTTACTGCAGTCGGACCTGCTCAGATAACACGTGAAGAGGTGGACAAATGGTGCCACCTACTGGTCTGAGGCTGTAATGGAAAACAATGCAGACAAACACCTATTGGGAAAGTGTGCCTGTCAATAACACCCTTAAGAGTTATGGTATTCGACTCTGCTCTCTCTACTACTGTAGTAGTACAGATGTTTAGCATTGTAAAATACAAGGTAACACTTGGCACATTTACCTCCATTCACTGACTTCCTCTGCTGTGAGCACGGATACGCTCTCTGCCTCAGTGTAAAAGTTCTTCTTCAAGGGCGGCAGGTCTGAAAGAAGTTAAAAATATTACAGAAATTGTTAGAATAAGAGGCGAACACACATCACATCTCTAGTACTTGTGGACTTCAGTGTACGTAGAGTAGTAACAATATACGAGTCTTCACCTTTCCACTTGAGCTCTTGATACTTGTCCTTGTTCTCCCGGATGTCTTTCCAGTCGATGGACGGAGGAGCCGGGGTTATCGCCGAAGCATGAAGTTCTTCAGTGGACCAGACAGAGCGTTCTTTTACTCCTCCACCATCTCCTTCACCTCCTCCACCACCACCTCCGTAGCCTCCTTCGTCTGCTTCCCCTCGGTAGCGTCCTCCACTAGCTCCTCCTCTGTAGCCTCCTCCACGATCTCCCCCTCTGTAGCCTCCTCCACTAGCTCCTCCTCCACGATCTCCCCCTCTGTAGCCTCCTCCTCTATAGCCTCCACCACTAGCTCCTCCTCCATTGTCTCCCGCCCAACCAGGACCTGAGAAACAGATCGATGCAGGAGATACATTTTCATTTATAAACCGCACAACAGTGGTGTTACCAATAAGTACGGGTACCAAAACAGGCACTTAGGAGGGTAGAGGAAGTGTCAACTGAAGGATATAATTGAGAATATCAAGCAGTTGTTGCTTAGAAGAAGAAGGTACTTCATGTTGCCACAACTTATTCTGAATTATGCCTATTAATCAGCGTGGCCCTGCAAAAAAAAAACAACGATCAAAAAAATCCTTTAACATACGGCAGGAATCAAACCACTATTTCTGGAGAAATGACTTTGTACCGTTGCGAGGTCGGAAGTCGCGATCTGCCAACATTTCTTCAATCATCTCTTTGGCCTTCTGCTGGGCGGCAGAGGGTCCAAAGAGGACCACCTCACCTTCAGAGTCGCCGTTGTTTATCTGGAGAAACAAACAAAGGAAGAGGGAAAACTGACATCCTATACATGCTCTGACAATAGTTCCATTAGTTGAATTCTGAAGATGATTTACAGCTTGATCTGCATTTCTGGTGTTCTTTTAGGAAACTTTAAATCTATGTAGTCAATTGTCAGTTTACATCCTCTTGAATTGGCCCTGACCCCCTTTGGAATGATGCTGGTTTTGTTCTCCTCTTGGACTTGGCTGTAATTTAACTAAAGAGGGTTTTGCCTGATAAAAGAAAGATGATTTTCTGTGTATGTGTCATGTAGGGATGAGTGATGAGCGTAGGGGTAAATAAAATTTACAATAAATAAATAAATAAATAAATAGTCTACAGGATATAACCACATGGTAGAGTCTATTGTTTTGTAAACTCCTGTGTGAATTAACTAAAAGACAAATGAAAAGTATTTTCTCATTTAAAGTTATTGTGAGGAACTTTTACCTGGTTATGAAACAGCCTCTTTGTGACATACATAAAGACCCTGCTGCAGTAAAAATGAGGATTTCTGAAGGGACTCTGGTACTTGGACACACTTCCGCTTTTACATGTTTACAAGTTCCTCATGGTAGCTTTCATTGAGAACTTTAGGGCTATATGAACAGCTTCAAGTCACATTATAGAGAAAAATATACACATTTCCAGCTATACACCGACTATGTCTACATGCACACAAGTAGAGCAAATAGATTACGGTAATAGTTTAATATTTAGTTAGTATTTATTATCAAAGATGACTCAATTGTGTTGTCATGCTTTCACAATATGATTCCACTGAGAGACGAAAAATTATATAGAAGTAAGAGTTGGAATAAATAAAATGTCTGTGTAGAAACATTGCAACCAAAGCAGATATTTACAAGTATTCATTGGTGGATTAGTAAAGTTAACAGTTGTGATAACAGATATGAGTTCTGTCATTAACAATCACAGCCAACTGTTGATATTAGTTTACCTAATTTAATTTAATTAGTTATTAAACAGTATACCGACAGTTTAAAATGTAAGTGCACACTATTTTTGGCCACGTAATCATGGATGCTCTACATAATATCACTAGTTTCAAACAGACAGTCAAATTACCTTTATCCTGGCACCGGTGCTCTCTTCAAGTTCACGAATTTTGGCTCCTCCTCGACCTTTAAACAGGATTAAAAGTATTAAGAATACATCCAAAATCTGTACACATCACTGAGGAACATAAGCTACATTAATGTAAAGGTCATTCCCACACACTTAGCTATTAATAAAACATGTCAAAATGAGGATAAACCTTAAACCATCAAACCATGTGGACCTCATAAACAAGCTAACTAGCTAACTGCTCATAAACAAGCTAACTAGCCTGCTAACTTCCGCTCAGCTAACGCTAGCTAAGTCAAACGGAATTTAGCTAAAACTCCCAACATGGCGTTTATATTTGAATTACTGCTTTATAAACCTACCTATTATCCTCCCAACGAAAGCATTTTCCACAGTGAAAGTCATAGCC